GAGAAGTGTAGCCTTACAACCAAAATACATGCCCCAGCCCACACGTCTGCCGCAGCATGCCCGCAGCAAAGCACGTCCATTATAATCAACTGCAGCTGCTACACTGACCACCGAAGCCACACTTGCCTGCGTGGGCACTGGGCTGCTTAACGTTATTTTTATGCGGATGATCTACTTTTTTTTCAGCTTAGCAGCCCTCCAACAGGTAAAAAATGACATAGAACTGAGTAAAAAATGAGTACAATCTATTTCAAATGATAAAATGAATACCTTATAGTACTAAAGGTAATGTGAAGCAGCAGAGCAACCTTGTCGGGTTTTTTACATTTCATTAAAATAAATCAGTCAAGTCAATGCATCCTGCTGTTAAAACGATCCACTTAATTAATTCCAGTTAATATAGCCTATGCTTCCAAACCCTGCATCATCAAGCACTTGGCAAAACTCAGTACACATACTGTGAAACTGAAGCATCCACACCCTGCAATGACAAAGTCTGTGAAGCAGGTGGAAAACCCCGCTCTGCTCCGCCTAGTGCATAGCATCTGTGCCCCATGTATTTCAGCCACAAAGCACTGCATGGTTATCCACAAATGTGTATATCTAATGGGCTATCCAAGCATTTCTAATGTAAATATAGATATGAGGTGTCTAGAATCATCTGCTGACGGCCACAAGATAATGTAATAATGTAAGAGGTCTGTTTATCCAAATTGCAAAAGACAAACATGCATTTCTTCACTTATACCTTGCAGAAAATTGGAGTTTTATTTGTTCATGTTCTGCAGTATTTGTCACTTCAATCCTCATGTAATGGAAGTAAAAGAAATTTAATCAGAATTTGTGGTGATTGCAGCATCGGAAAATGTCAATAAAAAGCAGCAACATCAATATCTCTTTGAGGTAATAGCGTGCCGGTACAACATGCTGCAATTTGAACTTCTTTTGACCAATAAAATAGTCCCTTCAGATTCTGCTTAACTGCAAAACCTTGGTCCATATTATTTGGAGTAAATTAGGTAAATTAATCCATTACCATATTTTACTAGCACCAAATAAAATCAGGATAATGAACTGTTTGGCTGATGAAACATCTCTATCGGACATTGTTTAATTTCTCAGCCTTTAACAGGTGAAATCTAGTTTATTTCAGAAGCTGCTGCTTTACTGCTGCTTGGACGAGACACCCTGTGTGTGTTTGTTTGTGTGCCTCTGTCTGTGCGTGGCATCCTGTGTGGTTTTAACAGCTCAGTGTCAGATCAACACCCTCGCTCTGAGCTGAACCCACACAGACAGACGCACAAACACACAGGGGCCTGACTGGGTGGCAAAGGAATGACCCGACGATGGGGGTCCATTTAACGAGGATGTGACAGTTGTAAAAACAGCCTTTCACTACGGCATGGATAGCCAGCATGCTAATCAGCTAGCATGAGAGTGAGGTGAGAGTGCTACAGTTTATTCCACTGATGGAGCTTATTTCCATGTTTATTCGTTTAGAGACGGAGGTTAAGTTAAGTGGTGGTAATTGGCACCAGCTTTGGAAGCTTTGCAATGAAATCAAGTGCTGTAAAAGTGAGCTCTCATACTCCTCCACCCCAGCTGCCAACTAAACTCTCAGGACCCGTGTGTGTGTATGTGTGTTTGTTTTGACAGCACAACAACAGACAAAGCAGACATTTGCATAATGACTGCAGTTGCACCTGCCCTTAGCACTGCTTGAGTGCATCAGATTTTCTTTTAAAGCTAACAAACCTACTGAGATTATGCGCAGCGATCCAAAAATATCATGCACACACACACATATGCAACATCTGAGCTCATCCAAGCAAAATAAAAGCAGATTTTGACAGCCGCTGTCCAATAAACAATATCACATTGCTTGAATGCGCATCATGAAAATGTTTTTTTGTTTCCCTCTTGAGTGACACACACACACCATCCATGAACATTTGGGACAACATCAAAGACATGTTGTATATTTGGAACCACTTGATTTGTCTCTGAAGTGTCCTGCAATTTTCTTGTCTTTAAAAAAAAAAAAAAAAAAAGCTGCCATGTTCACAGATGACAGCGGAGCTGGATGTGAGAGAGGCAACACAGGATGTTGATAACAGCACAACAAAACCACAGAGAGAGGCCCCGACCGCTGAGACCAAAGAGTGCAAAACGCTCAATTACAGGCGACTGGGGGGCGTAATCAGCACTAATGGGAAAGGCCTAATTGATAGTAAGTGGGACAGGAAGTAGAGAGGGAGGTGAGCCATTTTCAGAAATGGCTTAGTGCATGCATTTCTGTAGTGGTATTGAACTGAACTCAGGTTTTATGGTATCATGATGCTGGCACACAACCCGAATACATCACCATGGTAACCTAAGCTGCAGGGCTGACATGCTCCAATGTTAATGTCAGAAGATCTGATCATAACCTGCCAACAACACAACTACTGGCCAAACTGCTCACTGAAAAAACACTGTCATTATTAACTGACTTTACAACAGAGTGACAGGTAATGAAGAGCAATACATATTTTTATAAGTCAGCAGAATCATGTTCCAGTTTCCATGTGTCCATTCTGGTTTTAGAACAAAGCTTTAAACAAACACAGAGTTTATGACACCAAATATAAAATGATGGAGCTGCAATGATTTATCGACTAGTACTCAACCATTTAATTAATAGCAAACTACTCTGATAAACAAATAACTGATTTGAGTAATTAAAAAAGCCCAAATTCTCTGATTCAAGCTTCTTTGTTTACTCTTCTATGACAGTAAACTGACTGTCTTTGGGTTGTGGACGAACACCACATTCGAGAAAGCCTTCTTGGGCTTTGGCAAACACTGACTGACATTTTTTACAATATTCTAACATTTCATACACCAAACAACTAACCAATTAAGTGAGAAAATAATTAACAGATTGATCAGAAATGAATATAATCATTATTTGCAGCCCTAGATTAAAAGCTGCATTTTAATTGCGCAAAGTTACTTTCATTCCCGACAGTGTGGAGGCTTCTACACTAATATACTATCAGTGCAGCTCAAAATAACATGAGGCGACTTTGTAAAAAAATAAAACGGGAAACAAATTAAACCCTCTGTTGTCTATTATTATAAAAAACAATCCACATGCTGTTAATTAGCTCCCAGTAAATTAAAAATGCAACGTTTTGGTCAGATAGCCCTTATCAGGCTTTAACTGTCTTCTCTGCTTTGGCAGAAGAAACAGTTTTATATTACTTTTAACTCTATGCATCATACATTCATTACCGTCAGTTCAAAATAAGATAAATAAATATATTCACTTTGTACTAAAGACATATTATTCACCCTGCTTTTATTGATAGCCTTACTTTAAAAATATTTCAAGTGTTTCCATTGTTTCTTATTCTATTCTAGATGTGTGATTATACTGTGAATATTTCACCTCTTTCAATATCAGATTTTGGTGTCACTAGAACCAAATTTTCCTATGGGTATCACATTTCCCATTAAGTACTTCATTCAGGTTTGTGGTGATGTCACTTGTAATTAACAAATCTGCCTCTTTCACATGAACACTCTCACAGCCCGACAAGAAAACCTTAAGTGTACTGAGCTAACTAACGATACCAGTAATCCAGGATGACCAATGTTTGGTTAGTCTCGCTCACTGGGCCGACTCTCACTTTGAGATTGGAGAAAAAATGCCCCGGCTGCTTGTATTTCTTTCAACCAATCACAATTGTTCTGGGCGGTGCCACAGCAATGGTGCGCTTGCAAAAATATTGCCGACAGGACGCGAACCATGGCAGATAAATGGCTACATCCCAGCAAGATCAAACACCGCAAAAGTTAGTAAAGGACGTGTTGAAAACTGCTACACAACCGGAGGTGGTAGGGCGGGACTTCAGCGGGTGGCTCATTCTGCCCAATAAGAGGCTGATCCATGCAGCGAACTTCCGCCCACTCAGACTAGTGTTTGGTTAACCCAAAGGGGAAATCTAGCTTCACTGAGCGCCGCACTATGTACAGAGCCCAGCTCTACATTGTCATTTATGTTAAATTGAGAATAGATCCTAACTGATATGCTTTGAGGCTTAAATATCAACAAAGGTCGAGAATTTTCCAAAGCTTTTAAATTAAACTGGCACCATAACTTATGAAATGGCAAACAAAGAAACAGACCGCCATCAAAAAATGAAAACAGAGCACTTTAAAGTACTAAAAAAGCACTAGAAACCAATCTAAATGACAGGATACCCTCACAAGTGTAGTAATATGGGCCCATGTTCACACTGAAGAGGAAGGGTTCAGTGATCAGCTGTGCTTCCACCTCCTCCTCAGTTGTTAACTCTCGGTGTGTGTGTCTCTCTCTCCCTCTGGTGCTTAGAGAGGCTTCACTAGTCTGGCTGGTGGCCAAAAATAGCCCCCTCAGCTGGCACACTGGCCCAATTTACGACCCTTCACATTCAGCGGAGGGCAGCCCTGCCCTGGGCACTGTCGGCTCATTTCCCACAGAGAACACAGAACTGTGAAAACACCGAAATCCCACCAGCAGCGTTACAAAAAAATCCCACTTGCATATCTGCTAAATGTCACCGTGGACAAAATCACATCACAACTGGTTGGAAACATTTTCTTTGTCATCAGCGCCGATGCTCCCTGCCTGCTTTGACTCCCGGAGATGAGAGGAATGCTCTCTTCTTTTGCAAGTGTAATAAGATGAGGCAAAACTGGCCCCAAAACCCAAAGCCTGGGATGCTTTCAACTGAGAGCCAACTGCCAGAAGTCTGAGCCAGAGGTTTTACGGACGGCAGCCCGCAAGACCACAAAAGTAAAAATAAATGGAGTAACTATTCACCAGTGACTTCTGCACCACAGATCCCAGCGTGGGCCACATGAGACGGTGAGATAGATGGCACATCAAAACGGTGTGTGACTTTACACACAGAAACACACACAGAGGTAAATTTCACAACAGCCTGTCAAAACAAACTTAGAAGGTCACTTACCATCTGAGAACGGCTCTTGGGACAGCCATTGATATCTCCAATCTTCTCATTGGCTGGGGAGAGACAGAAAGAGGAGGCAGAGACAGAGAGATGAAAGAAGAGAGAATTAAACTGTTTTCAGGCATGTTCAGTTCATGTAATCCTCTCTTTTATTTCCAGTGGAGATCCCTGAGTGTGTGTCCCAGACAGTTGCTGGCTGAGTGAGGAGAGCAGAGGTGTTCACGCCGGTGACTGTGACCCCCCTTCTCTCCCCTCCCGCTGAGACATGAAACACTATCTGGTAACAGCAAATGGGAACGGGGCCGCTGGGGGCCCGGCCGAGATGTGTGTTGTGCTGCTTCTTTTCAAAGGGTGTGTGTGTGTGTGTGCGTGCGTGCGTGTGTGTTTGGTGTCGAGGATTCCTCCCATCTATTAGAAACCCAGCCCACAGCAGCTGAGACACGATCGTCAGCTCACAGCTGACAACTGTGCCAACAACACAGCCTCCTCCATCAGGAGGCACGGTGGGGCCCACTGTGTCGCTCCAGCTCAGGACCAAACACTGCACCACCTTCACTGCTAGAAAAAACTCCTCTTTCTCTCTGGTGAATAAACACAGTGTCTTTAATGTGTTCATGTCAACTTCTGGTAATGTCACTTTGATTAATGTCAAGTTGTCATAATCAAGACAACCCAAACAATGTCAACTTGTCATTACAAAAACCGAATGACACTTAATAACAGCAGTCATAAACGTTTATGACATGTAAATAATGTTCATGACAGGTTCATAACCATGTCACGCCACAGTTATGACAGTGTCATGTCACTCTTATGTAGATATTGTCAAGTAAACTGTTACCAGTCTAATAAAGTTATCTTAATGCCAATAACCAATAATGAAGTGTAGTGATGGCCAATGAAGGGGTAGATGTGTCCACTTTATTTTTCTTCTGTAAAGTAACTTTTGACCTTAACATCTGATCAATTCATTTAAAAGAAATCAAATCAAAAGAAAATCTGATGGGTCGTTGTACACTCTCCCCCTGTATTGTATAAACAACACGTCCTTATCAAATAATAAAGTGCGGAGGAAAGGCTTTAATGATTCCTGGCAAGCTTCATCCAAAAAAAAAAAAAAAAAGACGTAAAGAAGTAAAATAGCACCATATTCTCTTTAAAAGAAGGCATATTATGCTAATTTTTAGATTCATACTTTTATTTTGGGATTCTACGAGAGCAAATTTACATGCTTAAATGTTCAAAAACACTTTATATCCCTCATACCGTCTGTGCTGGAACACCTGTATTCACCCTCTGTCTGGGATGCTCCATTTTAGCGCCTGTTTCTTTAAGCCACCCTCCTGAAAAAGCCCAGTCAGCTCTGATTGGTCAGTGTTTCCAGGTTTCGTGTATTTATGCCATTCTCTCTGCACCATCATTACAGCCAGGGGAATGACTGTAATGGAGTAAAGTGTCACTGAAAAACAGTGAAAAATGACCAATTTAAAGCAAAATCTTCACAACTGGAAATGTTCAAGCAGAAATATGATTCAATATCGGGGAGAAATTAAAAATACTGGCAACCAAGATTACTTGTTTTCCAAGTAGCTACATGATACATAACTATGTAATGTAAGCTCTTGCAGTAACTTGCCTGGAGCAGATGACCACATAAAGAAACTCTTGTCTTTGTTAAGTACTCAGAACAGCCTGAAGTCTTAGGTTTTTGCTCACAGTGATTACTTTTACATATGTCTACCTCATGATTTAAAACTTAAAGCATTATAACATCATGACAGAAAATAAGGAAAAGCATATTATGTGCTCTTTCAGTGTGTTAAGACATTTAAATGATTGATGATTTAATGCTACTACTGTTGGCGTTGGTTAGTGTGCTTCCTGACAAATTGCACACTGTGGTGACACCCACAAGACACAGCTACTCTGTGATTTTGAGACACATTAAATGTTCCAAAAATAAACAACACACTAACCAGACACATTTTGCCTGGCTGACTAGTGCAGAGCAACGGCCTACAAACCAGCAGCCAGAATGCATAAAGGCTTCCTTGAGAAGATAAAAAGTATCCCAGGACTAGGAGCTAAAGAAAAAGCAAAATATCTTAAAAAGCCTGGCTGAAGTTTGTAGGACAGATTAAAACAGTTGCCTCAAGGACAGTTCATAGCAACTTTACTGGCGTCCTTGATCTGGAGGTTTCCCACTTCCAAAGCCCTGACCTTGAGTGCGGGTTGGTCAAACAGCTAAACGGGTGCCATATCCGGTCCCAGTATGGCTGTTCTGACACCAGCAGGCTGCTCTAGTTTCACTGGCGATTATGTGGTGTGAGGTTTTTTCCCAAGGGATGGGAAGCAGCAGGCAGAAAGGCGGTCAGAACAGGTGAATGGAGGGCTCCGGCTCGTGTTGTTTTAACTTAAGAACGGGGCAGCAGTGATCAGCTGTTGGAGGGTATATATTGTATGTCTGCTTGATGTTGTGAGAATACTAAAAGTAGTGGATGAAAAGAGATCATGATGTCTTGGCACTACTCAACCACATTTTTAGGACTGTAGAAACATTTTAAGAGGACTGTGACCGATAAACCAATACAACCAAATTACAGTTTTACTTTATGAGCTCCCCAAGAAAGTCACATTTAGTACTAGTGAAGTATGAAGTGTCACTGACCAAACACGAGCCAACAAGAGAGACATTTTTTAAACATAAAAATAACCTGAAAACAATCAGCAGATTATTCCTACTTTGCAGACAGGAAGACATTTCTGGCATTTTCAATCCCCCTGTCCACATCTTTACATCTCCTTTCATGCATCCATTCAAAAACTATAAGGATGCACCGATTTATCGGCTTAACATTCCTATCGGCTGATATCTGCCTTGTTGACTGTCATCAGCCTATCTTCCTGTTATGTCACATCAATTTCGCACGGACTAAAAAGCAGGGCTCGAAACTAATGGCCACAAACTTAAATTAATGAGCTGGTACAAGAGGAATACAATGACTGTTTGGGAAATGGGCTCTGTGATCTCACGTTGTGTGACAAGATGGCTAGTAGCAGCCAGCGTCTGGTCCTCCCATGGACAACAGAAAATGTGTCTGGGACTAACAGAGATCTTCCTTGGGACACCTTGGGGTCGAAAGCAGGAAGTAAACTCTCTATCTTCAGCTCACAGAGGTTGCAATGAGTTACAGTATGATGTGTTCAAGCTCTATTCAATAAAAATGAGCATTAAGTGAAGGTAAATGTCGTAAAATGTAGTTTTTGGTGAGAAACTTGAATAAATACAGTCGTTTTAAGGAGAAATTTGTTGATATTTTTACAAGCAAAAGAAAAAGATACCGATAAAATGCTATTAAGCTAGTTTTTTTTTCAATGTATGTGAAAGAAGGTTATATTAGAGGTTGTCTCATTAATTTGTATGATTGAATTTGGACTCATTCAAAGGTCATGAAATGATGGGCTTTAATACTTTAGAACAGTTCAGTTATGCAGTTATTTTTATAACAAAGATTTCTTTGTTTCCATGGCACAAAAGGGTGACTAAATAACAACAAAACAGAATAAACAACAATAAAAAACACATCAGTGTCAGTATTGGCTGTTGCCTATCTCCCAAACTGTTATTTTAAACATCAGTATCTGTATCAGCCCTGAATGTCAAAATTGGCGCATCCCCACCAATCAAAAGAGCAACTTTTAAAAAAACAACACAATGAATCTGTGTTGTTTTCTCGTCACATGCAAAACATGTGTCAAACAATACTCTCACTGTTATATTTATTACCTCATAGTCCTGCCTTACACAAGCTCAGCTACTCCACATCCTTCACCCAGGTGGGCAGACTGACTGTTAGAGTAGTTGAAGCTTCTACACCCCTGGAATAATCAAAATAATTTAAGCAGCCAACATCATGGCAAGAAGCAGGAGCCAGTGTTATGGTATAAGATTAGAGGAGGAGGCCGTCAAGCATGTGATGTAAACACATTTGACATACAAAATGCCCTGAGCCCGATCCAACTCCCAAAAAAGAATCACATGCAGCAGATACAGTATGACAACTATGCAACAGTGAGACTCCTCTCTGTGTGCAGGATGAGGCCGCACAGATCATAGGAAGTATAAATGTGGGTCAGACACAAGGGGGAAGAGCAGGAAGCAAACAGAGTCAGTGACATGCTGAGTCACCGGTCAGCTAGTGTCAGACTGCTTCAGCCTCAAGGCTGTCTGCGCATGAAATGACAGGCTGAGGACGGCTCGGACATAATGACAAGGCTGATGATGATACAGATGAGGGTGAAGGTCAAAAACACAGAGGAACAGCATACTTTTACAGGTTGAATATCTTCATATGCGGTTGGCACATAAGGTTATGAGACACTTTTAAAAGACAGGTAAATCAATTCTAAAATGCAAGTCAATGTGAAAATGACATTGATTTATTTGGGTTCTGATAAGCTGATCGACACATTTTCAGCAATGAGAGGGGGTGTGTAATTACACGTAGTAGAAGACATCTTACAGGTCACTTCAGAAATTTGCTCTTCCATCATTTGGAAAGTTTTTAGGACTTCCCTCATCTGTCTGTCCTTATCTGCAGTTTGTTTAAAGATCATATTTCTGTAAGCCAATAACTTAAAGTAAGAATTAGACAAGTCATTCATACTAAATCTCACCACACACCAGAACCTTTAAAGTTTTTCTTTGTTTCTGAATGAGTTAAAAAAAAAAGTTTTTGGAGCTAAAATGAATCCAACTTCTTCAAGTTCACTCATGAGCATCAAAGCAAACCTGACAAAGATGGATTTTAACTACTATAATAGTATTTTGTCCTGACTCTATCATCACCTCATGGAAGAAAGTTATTGCATCAGGTAGTTCAAGAGTTAAAGGATTTCATTCTGTAACATGAAATCTATCTTGCAAAAGAAAAGCTCCTTATTGGATGATGGTGTAGATCTTTTTCTTGGTTAAAGGTTGGTAGCATCTTTAAAAGTAACTAATGATGTGTCACTTTTTTTCCCAGCAAACACATGATCAGAGCTGGCCTCCTTTTGGCAGACTTTGGAATCAAATGTGTGTTTTCCTTACCTACGACCTGTATGATCTCAGCCAGCAGCACTCCGTCTGCGATATCTGTTTGTAGGTCCTTGATCAGACGCTTGTGTCCTGACTTGGCAAGGTAGTGATTGGCCCAGTCCGTGTAGATCTGCAGTCAGACACAAACACAAACCGCGGTGTTCAGTTATGAGCCAACAAAAATAAAATCCAGTCCAAAACAGGGGCAACCCCATAAAGTCGTCCACGTGTTTCAAACTCCATAAACACTTGAAAACTACAAAAGGTATAAATGGTTGAAGCAAATTTACGACTCTAATAAAATAACAACATGGTTGAATGGGAGCCGAGTAGCCCTCTTTCTTTTGTTGGGGCTCCGATCTGGCATATATCCGCGTGGTATTCAAATTGGGGCCATTGTGCTCAGCCAGGGCATTCATCTCGCAGCGCACGGCGGCTGTTTTCAATGGGCCATGCTGACATCACTCTCTGGGGACAGAAAAGGCCCTTCACTGCCTGGGGGGAGGAGAGGAGGGGGGCAGAGCAAGCATCTGAATAATCTGAATAGCTTCCTTCATAATTAGTCGCCAAACTCTTTCTATTTTACTCCTTCTCTCTCATCAAGAGGAGTGAGTTTCTATTTCTGGTGAGTTAAAAAAAGGCACACAAAGGTTGAAGTGAAGTAGCACTGAACATTATTCCTAATAAAGAAGAAGTTATTTTTGAGAAACTGATGCCTCATGAATCCATGTCGATTTGAAGCATTGTCAGGCTTGTCTGTAATCTGCAGAGACTCTGTTTAACAAGTGTAACTTCAGAGCAGTTTGTCTCCCACAGGGATCTGGAACATGTGCGATGGCTCTGCTAAATTAAGACACCGCTCCCTCTACAGTATGTCTCACTCTCCTTTTCACACATCCCCGAACACTCAGGTGAAAGAGATGACAGAGGAGAGACAATCAGGACGATTTAGTAACCAAGTTACAGTCAGCTCCCTGCAATGATGTGATTTCTCCAGTGTCATGTAAACGGGAAATCAGATTTTTCAAGCTGGATTTCTCCTGGATAGAGCAGATCTCTTGGCTATGTCCATGTGTCACTGCTCTCCTGCTCTTTATTGTGCACATATGCATTACAGAGTAACTGAAAGTCAAATATATGTCTGAATATGACCTCTTCCACAGTTAAGCATTATTTGTAAAATCCAGACATATCAACACATCAATATTATATCAATATCATGATATGAGACTAGATACCATCTTAGATTTTGGATATTCTAAATGTTATCTTTTCCTGGTTTAAAAGGCTGCATTACAGTAAAGTGATGTAACCCTATGAACTTATCAGACTGATCTCGCTGTTCTTTTATTTTTAATTACCTACTCAGTCATTATGTTCACATTACTTTTGATTATTTATCAGAAATCTCATTGTGTAAAGATTTAATGAAAGCACCAGTAATGAACCCCACAATATCATTGCAATATTGATACTGAGTAGGCTTGGGCGGTATAAAGGTATTACCGTATACAGTATATTTAGAAATCCTGAAGGTATGATTTTCAAAAATACGTCAAAAATACAGACACTCCTCTTTCTATTAAAGGTCCAGTGTGTAAGATTTAGTGACAACAAACAGTGAGGACTGCAGACTGCAACCAGCTGAACCTTCTCCAGGTTAGAATTCCTTTACTGTTCATTGTTCAGGAAGCTTTTATGAGGAGCTAAGTTATTCACAGAGGTCTCTTCCTCTCCAAAACAAACAGACCAGGGGATTAAGACCGGTTAAAGAATAGAACGGTTTCACATTACAAATGAGCGTTTCACCAACGCTGTTTGGCATGTCAGAGACGGGTGGCTTGCCCACCACATGCTAGTGTGCTCTCCTTTTTTCTGTGATAACTTAAGATCCAGACAATCCAGATTTTCAGCAGCAGCCAAATTATCTACAGAGGTCTCTTTCGCTCTAAAATAAACAGACCCACTGACGTTAGTCTCGCTCACCAGACCTTTCTCAAGAAAAGAAAGGTCTGGCTGGGCCGACTCTCACTTTAAGATTGGAGAAAAAAACGCCCTGGCTGCTTGTACTTCTTTCAACCAATCACAATCGTTCTGGGCGGTGCCACAGCAACGGTGAGCTTGCAAAAATATTGCTGGGGGGAAACAGGTTTTGGTGTAACACGCCCACAAAAATATCGCCTACAGGACGCGAACCATGGCAGAAAAATGGCTACATCCCCGCAAGATCAAACACCGCAAAAGTTAGTAAAAGACGCGGTGAAAACAGTTGAAAACTGCTACACAACCGAAGGTGGTAGGGCGGGACTTCAGCGGGTGGCTCGTTCCGCCCAATGAGAGGCTGATCTATGCAGCGAACTTCCGCCCACTCAAACTACACTGACGTAAACCGGTAAAACACTGAATAAAGCAGTTTCACATTAAAAATCAATGTTTTTCCAACACGTCGTGGAGGGGCTTCTAACTACAATGGCCGATGCAAAAACACAAATGGCCCCATCTACAGCCAGTGTGTGGTTTGTCCATTCCGGGCTACTGTAGAAACATGGCAGTGCAACGTGACAATCTCCATAAATGAGGATGCTGTCCCTAAGTAGATATCAACAGTTCATTCTAAGGTAACAAAAATATGATTCTTATTTTCAGGTGATTATACACTACAGAATACATAATATATTTAATTTCTGCCAATATATCTTCCTACATCCGACACACTGGACCTTTAAACTGATACGAAATGCTGTATTGAGGCGATGTACTGTAGTGCACAGCATGCACCATCAGAGGACAGTCTCTATGAGTGGAAGAGGCAGCTGAAATGAGAAAGATGGCAACTGTGAATGGGATAACGTTACAGGAGTAGTAAAAAGCCAGCCAGCAACTGCAGAGGCAGACCACAGGGATGGTGATTGTTGGAACAACGGAGGGACTAACCAAGATGGTTTCAAACCTGTACCATACATCCTGGTGAAATGTTAGGAGGGTATGAAGGTATGAAAAATAGATACCATCCAAGCCTAATATCAGGGTACTTGGTCAAACATATTGTGATGTATGATTTTCTCTATGTCGCCCAGCCCTAACTGTAAGTGAAAAATATGTCCACTGACTTACATGACTCTAAAAATAAGTAAAATAAGGTCGAGGAAGGAGGAGAATTATGATTACTGACATGCTACACCTATATAAAAATGTATGTGTCAGCAAGTAGCCACTACACAATGTATAAATGCGTGGTCAGATTTCCTGTGTAACCTCATTTCTCCCAGTTACCTAGTTTTTAATGTGCGTGTCAACTTTCTCAAGAATTACTGTGAAATTCAAGTGCACCTATTAGTACTGAATGAGTGCACAGCATTGTTAGGGTCAAACCTTAGCACAAGCACACACACACAACACGCATGGTGGTGAGTTGTGTGACACGGTCGTGACCCTTGTTTCTTTTTGTTTGCACTGTAAACAGACCCGGAGCTTTTCTGCCATGCTACTCATCAGATGAATCACGGCTCTCATGATGGCTTACAACAGGTGTGCACACTTCAAAGGCAAACACACACGCACATACGTATACTCGTCTTCACACACAAGCTCAGGAGCAAAAGGTTTATGAGAGTACACGACCACACATTAAACACAAAGAGCCTTGGAGCGACGTTTAAATCACACAGACTGCATACTCAAACACAAATGCACTGTTATAAAAAGCCTTTTGAGTGACACACAGAGCTAAAAAAAATCCTTCAAGCTGCCTGATTAGACTCTATCCTTTCAATTCACACCCTCAGCTGGTCATGGAGAAAAGGAAGTGCAGTCTTCAGGAGCTTTTTGTGTGTGTGTAACTTTTCTTTGAAGTAGTTTCAGGCAGGTAAATTGAGGGGTTGGAGTGTAATTAAAATCGGGGTGAAACAGGTAGCTGTCAGTCACAGAGGTAGAAACCAGGGTGTAGGGGGGTTAAACAGCCTGAGGACAAGCAGGGGGGCACGGGGGGGTTGTAAAAGGAAAGAAAAGGGGAAGTGGGCAAGTCACAACAGGTTGTCTTTTAAGTTCTGAAAATTAAACTTTTCAAAACAGTTTTTGTCTCTCTGATGTCGTCCTCTCAGCCAGAGCATCAAGCCCAAACTTTCAAAGTGATATCTCAGGAACTGGAAGAGGAAACATCCAGGAAGAAATTGTACAATGGACATATAAATGCTCATAGCGGATCTTTTTGGAGGTGAACAAATCATTGTTTAATATATTAAGAGTAAATCAAATGATCATGTCTACTATAAAAGACATTGTCTGCAGTTCAACTTCACAGAATCACCACCTACTCTACTCTTGTTTTAGTTTACAGCAGATTAACTGTATAGTCACATCTCACCTCTTTCAACAATCTTGTTTCTAGCAGCAGCTGGTAGCTATTTTCAGCATACAAGCTCAGATAAACCCACTGTATTCTACCTGTCCAGCACCAACCAGCAGAAATATTGTTGGTAACAAACGTTAGTGGCCAGCTGGTTAATTTAGCAATCTAGCAGCTAAATAGCCAGATGTTTTTCTCAGGAGTTGGTGGAGCAACCCATTCACCAGAAAAAAATGTTGTACTTTTCAGCAATCCATGGAAACGTTATATTTGAAGGTTATTATTTAACAGATACATTAAAACTTGATGTTTCTAACAACACTGTGTTTAACTGTTGGTTATGTTGAGACACAAAACCAACTTTGGCGAGGTTAGGAAACAATCATGTTTTGACTTAAAATACCCACATTCGGCGGCACGAAATACACTGGAAAAGCAGTGACAGGTTGCAAAAAACACCCACATGCAGCTGCACAAAAGTTGCTGGGTAAACAATGACAGATCGCTAAAAAACTACCATGTTACGTGCAAAAAAGCCACGGCAAAAACGGCAATGGATAGCTACAAAACACCCACATTCAAAGGCACAAAAGCAGCTGGAAAACAGACAAATAGTTACTAAAAAACACCCATGTTTACAGCACAAAAACTGCTGGAAAAGCAGTGCCAGGTTGCTGCAAAACACCCACGTTTAATTACACAAAACTCATTGGAAAAGTAGCGACTGGTCACTTGAACAACAGCCATGTTCATTGGCACAAAAGCCACTGGAAACGCTGACACTG